AAGTTCAAACAGCTGAGAATGTATCAAATCCTCATATTTCCCTCCAACACACCAAATAGTTCTTGTTGACTAATCATTTTTCAGCATACTAAGCATATAGGCTTTAGCTGTAGGGCATGAAAAACAAAGCTGTTAAAAAAATGTAGCAGCAAGTGCAACTGCACAACTTCAAGCATCAAGTACCTCAAATGCATCCTGACAGCAGCTAAAGGACATCAGAGCACCATGAATGGCTCCAGTGCAAAACCAATAAAGCTCCAAATGTGACTCTTTATCACATTTTGAACACATAACCCAGCAAGTAGGTGACATTTAAGGAAATTAATAAATAAACAATAGCAATAATATATTCCATACATGTGCATTTGAGGTTGCAGCTGACACCCCCTTGCTATAATTCAGACTTGATCTTGTTGAGTTGGATCAGGAAAAGGAACAGGCAGAAAACTGACCTCACAAAAATTTATTCTTTTTATAACTTTAAACTCCCTAAACTAGCTCACTGTGGAGCCAGATGAATTTCAGGTACAACTTTAAATGGGGTCCAGAAATAATCTTTGAGGTTACATCTGGACATTTGACTGATTTAGCCATGTAGTCTTACTCCTCAACTAAGCTCTTTCCAGGCCAAGGTTTTACAGATATTTCCCTACTTTGGGAAAATACTGATCAAACAGAACAAGTTTTCCTCCTAATGCTCTTCTGCCATCCTTCCTGTCACTCATTCCTGACCTGCACCAGGGCAAATTGGCGGTAAAACATGTTCTTCTTTTAAATCATGTGATCTAACCAGTTAAAAATTAAAGTTTTCAGCAACTGAGACCCGTTTACAACTGCAGTAAAGGAAAGCACCAGCTAGGATGCAGGGTTACTTATATTGCAGTTGCCACTGAAACAGGTTTACACAGAACTGTGACTTCCTGCCACTTACTCCAGGGCAACTGGCTGAAGAGACCTTTCTGAGCCATCTCCTGAAAGGTGCAAAGGAGCAAAAGAGGAATTCTCTAAAAAGGAAGAGGGGAAAAAAAGAAAGAAACTAAAAGAAAAAAAGAAAGTGTAACTAAATTGCTGTAGTAGAGGGGGTGGGGACACATATATTCTTCCATGCCGGTGAGCCACACAGTTGTTAAATTCTTCTCCATATTTATTATGTTTCACACAGTATCTAAAAGTTTCAAGAAATCAATCAGAAGCTGCAACAAGTCCAAAAACGATCACTGTCATTAAAAGCTTACAAAACATGCAAACAACAATTGATTAAATTACTGTGGAAGTATGTTGAAACAATACTGGCCCCAAAACCAGCTTCCTAGTCCGTACAAATTTCTGCAGGCACTGTGGCAAAGGAGTGTTAATGTGCTCCAACACTGAGGCAGATTTAAAGATATTCAAGATTACTTTTCTTGAAGTGTAAATGGAATAATAGCAAAGCATACACTTGCTCATATAAAAATATGAGCAAAAATATTTTTCATAAAGCAGCAACAGAAGCCAAACCAGACACTCAGGAGGGGTAGTTTCATCTGTCTGTAAGTGGGCTTGGCTGTGCAAGAGGCAAGAACTGGAAGTGAAGACAGAGAGGAGCTGAAGTTTGATGCAACACAGGGGGCAGTCTGAGGAGACCAAAGGGATGAGTTATAATAACCTCTGCAGCAGCATTCTCAACACATCAAATACCTTCTGGGAAACACAGATTAGCTAAGGAAAAATCACTAATTCAGATGTCATGGTTGATGTCACAGCAGCTGACTAACAGTGGATTAAGTAATTTCTGGTTAAAGACTTCATACTTCTTAAAACTCTAAGATCCAGGAAACAGGTCCCAAATTTTGGGTAACTTCTCACATCAATGGATGCTTTAGAAGAACCTGAACCCTGCACCTTGTTCAATTACTGCCCAACAGATGCAGTGTCCCTTGTTTAGCAATTAAAAGACTGGGAGTCATCATTAAACTCCTGTGGTAGTCACACTTCTAATTTAAGGTTCTGCAAGATCCTATTGCATGCATAAAAACATGAATAGGCTTAAGTTCCTTATTATACTTATTTGGTGTATCAACCTCCAAATGCTGACTTACCATGCCTGCATTAGGTTCTACTCCTGCATGCACGATCCTGGAATTACTTTTGCAAGTTTAGCAACAGGGCAACAACTAAAGATTTTCCCAAGGTTTACCAGAACTTCTACCAAATTTAAAAGCTTACAATTCTGTTAATAAAGCATCACACATTACAGAATTTCAGCACAGTACAAAATTACCAACTATTAACACTGCAAACAAAAAACCAAAATGCACATAAAACCTACCACAAGAGCAGCAAGAAAAGATATCACTACAGACTAAATAAGCTGCTACCCAATTATTTACCTTAACACTTTACTCAAACTCATCCTCAGCTGGGGCATCCATATGCACAGCCATTTCTGTTTTGTAAAACCTTCCTCCAAAGGTTAAATGGGTCAGTATGCATGCAGTATCTTTTTTTAGCATGTCTTTGTGTAGGTATAATGTGGCTATGTTAACATTTTCAATTATTGAAAATTTGTGTTCTGAAGTTATGCATTTTCAGCGGCTTAAAAGCCGTAAAAGCCATATTTGTTAAATTTGGATCACAAGTTCAGCCCCTGTATTTATTCTCAGTTGTTGAAAATCCTACACAAATTAGAATTTGCACCAAATGGAATGAGATTACTTTCCCAACACTGTATACCCAGGGAGACAGTGCCACACCACGAGATGTCACGATCACCCAACGCAGCTGGGTGAGGAAGGAAGTGGGGATGTTCAGAGTGACAATGTTTCTCCTGCCAAGCCACCCTTGGGTGTGACAGAGCCCAGCTTTCCTGGGCACAGCTGAGCATCTCCCTGCCCATGGGAGGTGGTGAATTCATTCCTTCTCGGCTTGCATGCATGGATTTTCCTTTCCCTATTAAACTGTCTTCACCTCCACCCGCGAGTTTTCTCATTTTTACCCTCCCAATTCTCTCCCTCATCCCCACACAAGGAGAACAAGTGACCATGTAGGTGGTCCTTAGTGGTTCTTCCTAGGGTTAAACCACACCCACCACAAATCCAAGTAACTTCAGCACCTAGGCAATGCTTCACTGACAACAGCTCTCACTCAACTGCACAGAAAATAGCTTCCTCCAAGTTTGGTCCATATGGAGAACAGCAACTCACTGACATCTGCTCCTTCAGTGAATGTCTATCTGCAGCACACACCCAGAAACCCTAACTCAGCCTGATGGGAAAGAACACAAGCTAGCTCAGAGGACACATTAACTCCTACCATACACAGATTATTCAATTATTTTCTTCAGAGGACTGTGAAATATACGTGGTTTAGAGTACAGTCACCCAAATAGCTGCATGCAAGAGGTATGTGTGTTTTTATTAGGAATATTTCTTTATTTACAAAGTCAATTTCACACTGAGATCTGAAGACACCTGTATCCTTCAGCAGAACTAAAGTGTAAAATTCTTTTATGGATTGACATTTCCTCATACATTAATTATTCCTAATTTTTGTAATCATAGCCTTTGATAACCTAGCAGTGCAAATGCAGCACATATAATTCTACTCACAATAAGTTTTTTTCACAATTTTCACTACATGAAGCTTTTCGATATAAATCTTGATGACAAACCTTGCCAACTAAACACTAGTAACTCACAGCTCTTACACAGCATCTACCTTGTTTCTAACTCTGCTTCAGGAAACACATTTAATGCAGAACTACCTATTCCCTTTCATTCAGGAGATCAGAGTTCACCATTCCATTACAGACACACAGTTTTGATCCCATGAGTAATTTCCCAAAACAGCAGTGACATCAACACAGGCATTAACATTTCAATAGGAAATAAAACCTGACCCCTGACACAACTGATATACATTTTACTGTGAAGCTGAGCCTCCATGGGCGTTTTGTCACCTTTTATAATTTCACATAAGTTTGGGTCAACTTTAGTGAAAACTCGCTTTTATTTTAGAGGTATGTGTAGGAAACACTGATATGGCAGCCAAGTTGATTACAGGAACCCAATAACATCCAGGATTTGAGATGAAAAACATCTGCCTGCTTTTTAGCAGCCTAGGCACGTTTGATTTGGAATGTGTGGGTTCTGGGTATGGTTGATTGCTTTTTTTGTTCGAGACTATCTACTCCTTTGTTTTCTTTCATCACGAAAAACAAACGCGTTGAGGTCCATCCAATTCAACTCCTTTCCTCCCACCCTCAAACCCTCTCGCGTTTCCCCGGCAGGGCTCCATCGTGTCCATCGGCTTTGGACAGCCGCGCTCCGAGGGCTCTCCGGGAGCCTCCCGGCCCCTTCCACCCCTCAACAGCAGCGCCAGCCTGGATGCTGGAGGTGCTACACACGCAGGGTTGGAATTTGAATGCAATATAGGGGGGGATTTCTTTTTTTTTTTTTTTTCTTTTTGCTCTTTCCACGTCGGTTTTCCCCGGCTCCGCCGCTCCGGCCGGGAGACACCAGGCGGGCACGGGAGGCTGCCCGGGAGGGCGGCGGGGGAAGGGGAGGGGGAGGCGGCACATAAAGCTCGGCAGCCGCGCTGAGGGCGAACAAAGCCCAGGTCGGCTCCGCGGCGCGGCCCCTCCGCCAGCGCCCGCCCGGGCACCGCGCCCCGGGCTGAGGGCGGCGGGGGACGGGGAATACACGAGCGATGGAGACCCGCACCCGGCCGGGATCCGCACACAACCGAGACCCGCACACAGAATCTCTCTCACACACAGACACAGGGCGGAGACCCCCTCACGCCCACACACACGGCGGGGACCCCACACACGCAGGGGCGGAGGTGCGGCGCACCCCAGCCCCCGGGGCGGCCACCGTGCGGGCAGCACCCCCTCAGCCCCGCCGCGCTTCCTCCCAGCCCCATAGAGCCGCCGCTGCCTCCCGCCCTCCCCTCTCTCTCCCTTCTTTTCCCTTCCCTTTCCCTCCCGTCGGTCCCGTCCCGTCCCTTCCACCTGCGCCCACCTGCGGAGCAGAGCAGCACGAGGGCCACGCCGAGCAGCGGCAGCAGCGGCGGCGGCTCCATGGCGCGGCGGGCACCCGGCGGCGGCGGCGGCGGCTCCGTGCCCGGGCTGCGCCCCGCGCACCGCCCAGCAGGTGAATCAGCCCGGCCCGGCCCCGTCACTTCCGGCCGCTCCCCGCCCCGCCGCGGCTCCGCAGCGCCCGCCCCGCCCGCGGCACCTGCGCCCGCCGGGGCCGCCCGCAGCGCCGGCCCGCCGGGGCTGCCCCCACCGCCCGCACGGCCGGCAGCGCGGACGGGGCGGAACGCGCGGGGCGCGCGGCGGCAGGCTGCACGCGGTAACCGGAGGGGTGCCCGCGGTAACCGGAGGGGTGCCCGCGGTGCGGCGGGCAGAGCTCCGGTGCCGTCGGGAGCGCCGGTCCCTTGCGGTCCCTGCGAGCGCCGGGCAGACGTGTCTCGGTCCCCATGGCAACGCGGCTGCAGCGCCTTGTGCGCTCCTTGTGCAGCGCACACGTCTCGGCGGTGAAGGATCTGGAATCGTGGAAAGCTCGCTCAGGAGACAAAAGGGAGACGAGAGCGTGTGCGGAAGGGCACAAAGCAGAGTTTGGTTCAATAGCAGCCCTCGCCGGTTCCAGAAAGAACCGGATCGTGCTTCACGTACAGCAAAATCAGATACATTTATCAGAATAGAAAGTGTACTTGATGAGGTTTATTTTCCATTAATTTATTCCCCTGTGTGTGTCGCAGCATACTGCAATAGCAAAGCTGTTTGATGTAAATGTGCTTCTGACGCTTGTAAAGGGTTAAATAGTTTTGGTACCCTCTGTTACGTCCACAGCTCAGTCTCTATTGGGAAAATGCTGCCATAACCAAATATTTACATAAAGGTTGTGCAATCCAGATTTTCATTCCAAACGGATTTTGAAAGTGTTACCATTTCGTTATTTTTCTGTTATAAATACATTTGAAATACATTTTATATGATTCCATTCTGTATGTATGAGGTGAGAGTTTAAAAACCAAATTTTTCTGCCCTTGTCAAAAGCATTGGATTAAGTGGGCATCATATAGGGTTTGTTTCAGATGCACTTAGCTAAAAAGGAGGTGCTACACCTTTCATTCAATAAAGGGTTCCTAGTGCTGAAATTGGCAGTGTCTCCATTTCTGCTGGAAATGGAGATTATGTGAACATGCACTTAAGTCTTTCAAAATGGTTGGTTACTCTGAGTAAAGCAGCAGCTTTTACCTGCCAGCTCAGAATTAGTTTTTTGGTAAGTAGGGCAAATGCATTGTCATTTTCTATGAAGGTTCAGATAAGTAGTGCTTACATCTTGTAAGGACATGACAATTCACAGTGTCTGTTAGATCTCCTTTTAAAAACAAATCTACCCAATAAGATGCTGGATACTATACATAAAGCATAGAATTTCAATTTTGGAGGTTTCAAGCAATTCATTTAATGATAGAACAGAACTGTCTTTTCTTGCTGTGAGGAAAATAAAATATTCATGTAATCTGAAGCTAAAGGAACCATAACCTCAAAGCAGGGGTATTAAGATTTTGCACTCTTCTGGTTTTTTATATGTGCTGCAGACTTTAAAGGGTAATCTGAGTCGAGCATCCCAGGCTGACTGGATGAGTGAGGTTTTTTGCTGTACATCCACTTGTGTCAACACAGAAATTACATACCAAGGAAAGTATAATGAGGCAATCACAGTCATTACAGAAAGAGAAAATGATTTGTCATTAGAATGGAGATGCTCACCCTCCTGTGAAATAAATCCTAGCTAGTAATTAAAATTAATATTGTACTGCACCTAGAAAACATGAGCTCCACGTTTTGGCTAGCCTAGACAGATCTATTCCTGGTCTTCTTTAAATCAAAAGCAACACTCATGCAGTCAAGTTCATGCTCCTGAAAAGTTTTCACACTCCAGCAAATGAACAGGGTTTAATAATTATTTTAAAAAACCAACCAAACAAAAAAAAAAACCCAAAAAACAAAACAAAACAAAACAAAACAAAAAAACCAAAACAAAACAAAAAAAACCCAATCTGTTTCCCTACTGCAAACATTGGTCCAGCTGAAAAGGCATAAAACTAGCAGGTTTATTAGGGGATGTGACATTCTGTAGATTTTTAGTGACCTATACTTCCTGGAACAGCAAACACAATGTGAGAAAGAGATAACTGTGAAAATGACCACTCATAAAAGAAAAGGTCAGGTTCAAAACTTTTTAAACATATTTCCACTAATGCCAGTATTTTGGATCAAGCCCAAAACAGGCTTCAGGATGAGGGCAGAATCCAGTCAACAAGGAAAATGTTGCCAGAGCAGAGGTCTGCAGTCCAGACCCACACACAGTTTGCAAATGGAAAGTTATTTCTCATCTCTCTTATGGAGAATGCTGTCCCATGCTCAATAATCTTATGTTTTATGTTAAATATAAAAAAATCCATCTAATGTGTTTAATGGTAAAAAAATCCTTCACTACTATCCCTACATCAGTCTCAGCCTGAACTTACAGGTAACTTGAAATAAAATGTAAAATCAATATAATCTTCTCCAAATTTTACACAATTACTTACGTGCCTCACCTTCCATGAAGTGAGGTTACTCTGGGTTTAGTTTCTTGAGGGGATGGGTAAAAGAACACCAAATGAAGTTACTCACTGGTTTGACTTACAGAGGCAGTGAAATGGAAATCATCCATGCTTGTGTTACACAGGTCACACAGGACATGTCCGTGCCATACAAGGAAAACAGGGCTTGTTTTTAGTTTCAGTTTCTGTCCTGTACAGGAGGAGCTGCTGTCATCAGCCATTGCAATATCTGAGACAAAATTCCCAAAGGGATCATATAGTTCCTGAAGTGGATACCAGCATCTCTCAAGAAGGGCAAGAGGAAAAAAAACAGGGAAGAAAAATGAAGAGGTGGAGAAAACAGTACCCTGGGGACTTTGGGTCTGCATTTCTAGTTATAGGCAGAAGTCACATATGGGACACATATTCTTCTGGAAAAAGGATGGATCAGCAAACTTCATCACTTTACTCTGTAATCCAGGCCAGAGTAGACATGAGGGAGTGTTTGGGGAGTTGAGGTAGGAGGGCAGGACCATTTCTATTGCAGGCTGTTGGTGTTCAGTGTGAACCCACCTGGAGGCTGCCCATTTAAATTGGAGGTGCTGCTGTCCCCCAAGCCCCAAACTCCCATGTGATGGCACTGGAGCTCAGGACACCAGTGGATAAGACAGTTTGGGAAGGCAGGCTGCCCAAAGATGAAGACCTTTTATTTTCATCCAGCTGAGCTCCCTGAAGTGTTTTCCTGGTTATTTGCCTGCCTGGCAGCAAGCATAAAAAAAGGGAGTGGCTGGGTGGCAGGAGGGGAAAGGGAAAGACTGAGAATCAGCTGGGCTCAGTTTTATTCAGCACCATATCTAGAGCTGTGTGACCAGGAAGGTCTAATTTGTGCAGACATTTTTTCCAAAATGAATTTTGTCATTGCTTATGCTGGCGTCTGTGCCCGATGTGAGGAACGGGCACTTGTCCTGCTCAGCTTTTTGGCACTAACTGCCCTTATCAGCATTAGTTAAACCAGCCCGGGGCCAGGTCAGGCTGATATGCTGAAAATAGCTGCCAGAGTCAAGAGATGATCTACATTAAGTTCTCATCAGCTCGGGATGGTTACAGCAAAGGATTTGGGAAGGCAGAGTTACAGAGAGCTGAGTATTTGATCAAAAAGCTTTGAGTGCATCTCTCAGGCTCAGTCCCAGACAGCAGAGCCTGGAGCTGTGTCCCAAGAGCAGTTTTCCAACCTCCGTACTGGGACAGGTCCAGTGAGGGATCACCCCCCTTCCTCAGCTTCCCCAGGGAGTGCTGCACCCTGTGACCAGAGTTTGCCTTTTCTGTAACAACCTTGGGCTATTTCCAACTAAGCTTTCATGCACTTACAGCCTTTTTATAATGATAACTAAACACAGTCCATTATTAGGGAAAATAAGGAGTAAAGGAAAAAAATTATCCATCAGTAGCTGAGGTTTAATTGTCTTTAATTCGACTTAATGTTTTTGAGAGCCAGTCTAGTTTCTAGTTAAAATAACAGCTTTCCCATTTAGCACCTCAGTTAAGTGACAGTTGCACTCAGGGTGAAATTCACACCTTGCCGTGCTCCTCTTTTTGGAGAGACAATTTTTAGCAAAGACGTTTTAAGCAGGTAGCAATTTACACCTTTGTCTCTATGTAATATTGAAGCTTAGAAAAATAATTTGCCTCGAATAATTTTCTCTCAGCAGTTACTTGGACGTTTGCATCATTTTGAAACAGAGAAAGGAGAAAGGAGAAAGGAGGAAGAGCAGTCCACTACCAGTGGTGGTTAGAGTTAACCCAGGCTTAAACCTTTATATTTTTGCTGTGAAAAGGAAGCAAAATCCAGGTAATATAAAATAGATTTGCTTTGTTTGAAGTCCAGAAGAGGAGTGCATAATGTGATTCATCTTTATAGAAATATGAGTGTTATCTTTCCTTAGTTATATATTTGTATTCAAATTTATTTGTGTTCACATTTTCATTGTCCATGCAGATGGCAGTAAAAGTGTAATGTCTGTTGGCTGGAACATTAATGCAATAGACAATACAGACCCATAGTTTTGCAAACTGTTTTTTCTGAGCTTATATTCACCACAGTGATGATTGAAGAACAATTTTTTTTTAAAAGGACAAAAATATGTGATTTGCAGAAGTGATGAGGAAATTCAGCTTATTAAAAGAGAAGTCTTATCTTAAACGCACCATTAGCAGGTCAGCTGAAGATTTTCAGGTTGAACCCATTGCTCTTTGTCTTATCATTATATTTCTTGATGAAAAGTCCTTCTCCCTCTTCCTGGTAGTCCCTTTCAGATACTGGAAGGAACTCTTTGGAGAGTACAATTGAACGGGAAGTTAATCACATGTATGCCAGAGGCAATGGACTTCCATACCTAATCCTACTCAGGTCAGTTTTAATAGTGCAGAACTAGTAGCTGATGGTGGCTTGGACTGCATTATGAACTGCCAGGTTATTTTATCTGTGCAAGGCATTCATAAAGGGTACTT